TGGCGCTGCCCCGCACCCGCCGCACGATGCCCAGGTAGCAGTGGAGCAGCAGCGCGGTCTGGCCCAGCACGGCCAGGGCGAGGAGCAGGGCGGTGTAGCGGGAGCTGCCGTCCGTCTGCCGCGGGGGCGGCTGCTGGGCAGAGCCCGGGGTCCAGAGCCCCGGCAGCAGCGGGACCAGGAGCAGGGCGAGGGCCCAGGAGAGCCCGATCATGCAGCCCGTGTGCCTCCGCTGGTAGAGGGCCTGGTACACGCTGGGCAGCTTGGTGATGAGCACGTACCTGTTGAAGGCCACCAGCAGGTGGGAGGCCAGGGAGACGGTGAGGCCGAGGCCGAGGAGCCCCCCTCGGAGCAGCCGGTACTCCGCCGAGCGAAGGGAGGAGGAGTTGGGAGGCAGCAGCCCCAGCACAGCCTCCTGGGGCATCCACAGGGCGCACACGCTCAGGTCTGCCGCGCAGCCGTTCACAATGAAGGCATTACTGGTTGTCTGCAGCTTCTTGAAGGAGAAGACTAAGTAGATGACCATTACATTGGATAAAGTCCCTGAGATAGCCAAGACTGCATAGAGCAGCGAGAGGAAGATGCGGGTCCCGGAGGAGTCCTCCCAGAGCAGCAGCAGAGGCGAGCTAGCACTCCAGGAAGAGGCGTTGGGCATCTCGCTGAATGCAGCTCAGTTTTGACTTCTCCCTGTAAATCCCATCCTTGTCTGGGTCGGAAGATCCTGCTGCAGGAGCCCCCCACCAAGCACAAGGGAGGGCGTGCAGCCGAGGGACTCTAAGGCAGGTCTCAGTCATACAAGCTGCAAGGTCCAAAAAACGCAGTTCACAGTAACGATCCAAAGAATGGCAGTGTTCAAGGCGGGCAGGTAGCAGGAGATCCCACAGATTGTAGCTAGCGAAGGTGGGTCCATAGGGAGCAGATGGCTCTTAGCAGACCAGAGCACGACTGAGGATTCTGTAGCTGTGACAGTGCCAAAAGCAGCAGCAGCAGCACCTTGCAATCAGCAGCAGAAACGGCAGCAACCGATACAAAGCTTTGCAGTTTCTCCTGTGCCACGGTACATACAGTGTATATCATTCCAGGAAGATTCAGCCCTTCCACTCTTCATGAATTATTCAGCAGATTTTCAACTTGTTAAATCAAGAAAAAAAAAAAAAAACACAACCCTATCATGCTCCAGAAATACTGCAACTACAGTCTGACTCTTCTCTTTGCCTTACCAGTTTCCTGGTTCTAACCCATTTACACAACTTTCATTTGCAGCAAGCTTTCAAACCAGTATCAGTCACTTCTGTCTGAAATACAATCCATTTACTGTAGAAACTCCTCTGCTAGATACTCGCTTAAACTGATTTTTTTCTGATCTTACTTTTGTTAAGAGAAAGCGTGCTATGCTTCTGCAAGCTTAAAGTTAATTTTAGAACTGGTCTATAATAACAATATACTTTCCAAATTACCTCTTGCAAACACGATAGATGCACAGATCCTTGGTAAGACAGTACTTCTTATTTGAGGAAGCTGGTCCTCAAGCTACATATTCTGCATTTCTTCATAAAACTCAGCCTGTCTCAGCCCGCAGGAAATCCTGCATCACCAGCCTGCCGGAGGTGAATGCTGGTGTCAGTAAGCACATGGATAAAACAGAATCAGCGTAGTGCTTGAAACGGTCTCGCACCAAAATTAATTCAGAGCACAAGTTCCCACAGAGGTGATGACAGGTTCTTAGGCGGACTAAAAGCTGGTTGAAGAGTAGGGCTTCGCAGACCCTTCCCGAATGGAGAAGAGCTAGTAGTGGGATTCTCCTGGGACCTCTACAGTGCTTTACTCAAACAGGGACAAAACGTTAACTGTCCTTACCCTGGACAAGATTTAGTAAGAAACTGAGTGCAAGAACTTAAATCTCCTCTCAAAAGCTTTCCAGAAAAGGAATGCCAATTAATGTTGTGGTGAGTTTAGGAGAAAAGCTGCTTTTACAGGTGGGTTATATGTGGGCTACAGAAGTAAGCAATCTCAGCTCATAAGGTATGACCAGTATATGGACCAAAGATACCTTTATAAGGTGTTTTTAGATATCGTTAAACTCGCGATACTAACAGATGACAATACCAAAATAATATATTAGAATGTAATTACAGTTACAATATAAATTCTTTAAGGTAATGAAGTTAATTTGTGTGGGTCAATGGATTATTTTGTTGCAACATAGCACATCTTTGATTTGACAGAAGGGCTCATGTTTGCAATTGACAGGACTATGGATCCAAATGTGGATTTCTTAGGAACATGAATACCTATGTTCTTTTTTAATTAATTAGATTGCTCATGTGCTTAAGGTTAAAGACATAACCTGAGTGATTTACTTGATCAGGCCCTTAATTACCATATTTTTTGCCTGCTGCACTTTACAGTGTAGATCTAATCAAGTGTCAAACCTTTTGAGGCCTTTCATTGTTTAGCTGTCAGTAGAGAACAGTTATTATAGAAACTAAAATCCTCCTCTTTCTGCAGTACTGTAATTGAAAAATATTCTCTAAATCTGTAACAAGAAATATCTCCCTAACCAAAAAGCTTCATACTTTAAGGCATACTTTAAAGAGATGATTAACAGTTTCATAAGGCATTAGCCACAGAATCATAAGCCTAGTAGAGACCTCTAGATTTATTTAATCCATCGTTACATGTTTACCAAACCTCTTTTTAAAGATCTTGTGCTACAGCTTGTTCTCCCAGGACAAGGAGATATATTTGTAAATGAAGCAACAGAAATGGTAAAGTTTAAGGATAAATGAACAGAGGATATGAAACAAATTTCAGGGTATTTCTTAAAAGCTACAAGGTTCTGAAGACTTCCCTGACCTTTCAACTGTCCCCACATTTGTTGTTAAGAAGCTGATTGTTACAGAATACTGGCTATATTTATCATTCATTTTTAAGAACAAAAAAAATATGTTGTACATTAGCTGGCATTTACTCTATTTCATATAATAAATCAATAGAAGTTAAGTCTAGAAAAAGGCTAAGGGAGAGGTTGATGCCTACATACTAGGAACTTTTTAATTAGCTGTTCTTCCTTTATATTTACACATCCAAATTAACACCCATTAATTGTGTGCATGTAGTGGCAGAAGCCTTTTATTGTGGTTTTAGATTAGACTGTCACTAGAATTTGGGCAACTTCTAAAGCTTCCACCCTATTCCTGACTTTGCCATTCCTTTAGAATAGCTGTGTAACAGTTACATACTCTCCACATCATCTGTTGCAGCACAGACTTAGCTGACAGGAATATTAAGCACTGCAGATAAATAATCATGCAACACAACAAATTTGCTGAAAATCAGCAGCAGAGTTAAACAATGTTAGAACCATTTGTGACTAGTTTTTAAGTGCAGGAAGGATAAAAAGCTAAACGAAAGCATGATCTTTCAGGTTCTTATGGACAAAGACCCTGCTGTTAGTGAGGCTAAGAAACCTGTTGCACATGCAAAAGACAAGGTATATCACACCTTTAGCAAGGGTCCTTGTCCAGGGGAAAAAAATAAAAGCTTCTTCAATTCAGACACGCTTTTAAATTATGGTATTTTGAAATATAAACTTCACATCACAATATCAACACAGTGATTAAATACTTGATGTTATAGAAAGCAAATACCAGAAGGTTAGCTAGAGAGATCAGTTATAAAAGATACCTGTCATACTAATGTCTTTTTGCAATGTCATCTTATTTATAAATGCATTATATGCTTTAGAAGAAAGGTGATTTTCAAGAGCTACTCTTCAATTAGAGATCTAAACGTATTCGTTTACATCAAAAGATCTAAGTAAGAAAAGCCAAGAAACAAGGATGCTGGCTGATATAGGCATTTTATTATCAATTAGTTGTATGTAAATATATATCTACATTTCAAAATTAAACAATAGTTTCTTAAGGAAAACTATTTATAACAAAGTACATGACAAAATTCTTTATAAGAGGTAGAATTACCTTACCATTAATCTATAATTCATATACAGTATATTGTATATATATGCACACATATGCTACTTTGTGTGTATATGTTACATATACACAGTTGTGAAAAGAAGTACAGTATTGCATCAGTGATTTATATAGCTGCTCTCAGTATTGCTTATTAACACTTTCAGTACAACTTTGCATAGCAATTTGTGATCTGATCCTTTAAAAAAAAAAATAATGTGGCACTTTATCTTCACTTCAGTTGTAAAGCAAATGGGGGGCATTCACAGGTCTTCAGGAACAAAGACTGACAATTCAACCAAGTTTTATTTTCAAGTTTCCGTAGATATCGGAAAAACTTACAGGTAGCAAATCTGTTTTGTTTTTGTCTTCTAAATTAGTGGCAAATCAAGTCCTCACAGCTGCTTATGTTTTTTTGCTTACTATACACTTGTGGAGTTCTTAAGACTTTTACACATGATCTCTTGTACTTCACTCTAATACCACTTCATTCGAAGTCTCATTCCTAATCACACCTGATTATACGTTAAGAGCATCTTTACTACTGACAAAAACATTCTGTGATACAGGAGGTTACATTAGCTGTATGTTTAACAATAGTTTTCAAATTAAAACGTTTATGAAGCATCCAACTGATAAGTGAAAATTTAATATACTTCCAACATTTACAAGTATGCTTTGCTAATGAAACTGTACACATACTGCCAAATGTAGGTTAAAAACATGTAAGTATGCAGCACTGCCAAATTCACTGTACGTACACATTCTTACCAACTTAAGTTTGGTCGCCTTCATTTTTGCAGTATATATTGCATAGTAAAATTTAACATTCTACATTGAAAAGAAAAAAGTTAAGACATTCCTTTGAGACAAACTGGAAGAAAGCATTAACTGTACAACTGAATCATCAGATAAATTACTTTCTCTTTGCAATGGAAGATGTAAGTTACACTACATCTCAACAAATATTTTCCATTTATTTTTCTTTCATAGTGTTTCCTTATGAAACATCAGCAGCTGAAAGTGGAAAGCAGACTATGTATCAAGTGCTTTCAGTTGATAGTGTGATAACTAGTCTCTCACTAGCTAGACTTCCATTAAGTTACCAGAAGACCAATTAGTGAAAAAGTAATTATGTTACACTTTTAGCAATAATGATGGACCCATAAAACAAGAAAAACATCTTGTTCATAAAAAAAAAAATTTTCATCTTTGATAAACACATAAAAATTCTTTAAAATACACATTTTTGTAGCAAAGTGAACACTAAATTAAAATATATTCTAATTTTTACATAATTTTTATATATATTGCTTACCAAAATATTCTCTTAATACATATTTTAACACTGTACACGAGTTAATAAATGTCTTAATGAAACTCATTAGAAATATATTCAAGCTGTCTCAACATTAAAAATTTAAATCTTTATATAACATAGGGTAAAATAATTTCCATAAATTCAACATCAGTGCATCTGCAGTAGTCATTAACAAGAAATTTGTGCCTGTTAAGAAGTCTCCTCTTGGTGTTAAGGTTTTAATATGTCTTGTATTGAAGACTCCTCCTCTGAGTGAGCAGCTTCCTTCCTTAAGTTCTTCTCCTTCGTGAAGGACTTCGATTTTAAGAACTCAACAGGTTTCACCAAAGCGGCAAGGCTTTAGTACTGAATATACTCAGACCGAAGGGACTGTGCAGAGAAGAAAAACTGATTAAAACTCACTGGTGATGTTATACTTGTATATAATATGCATTTTATGCTTAAGGAGTAGAGGAAGGACAGGAAGAAGAAAAATAAACAGAGAGTTGGAAGGGGATCTCAGTCTCTGCATAGGTAAAGATGAATAAAATAGAAGAAACACAAAAACTGGATACGGTAAAGTCCATCAACTTTCCTGTATCTACACTTACTTTTCCAAACAAAATTCTAGAGATTCTTGAAGAAAGTGTTACAAGTCCTTTAAAACACCACCTTAAACCAATACCTTAAAAATGTGTTGGAAAAATGTACGATTGCAGTTACTATAATTGAATTGTTTCCATTTATCCTGAATGAGAATCGAAGTGCTACTATAAAAAATACAGCATACTTCAGATGTTGATTCAGGTAACGACATATATGGAAACATATATGGTGTAGCTAATTACTGAGAAAAAAGCTACAGCAGTACAATTATGCACATGAATAAATTTATGTACAATTACTAAAACCAGATTAAAATGAAGCACTGCAAATGGTTCATCTGGATTAGCAAGCAGTCAGTATAATTAAGAGGAAAGCATAACCTAGTCTACTCTATTTATTTACGTTTCTGGTTCTATTGAAGTCTAAGGTTTTACTATAAAGTAATTAATCAGTTTAGACAGCATCCAAACATTTTATTACTTCCTACACAGATGTGTTCACGAAGTCATGCTGATGAATAAAATGTCGCATCTGAGAATGCTCTTCACTGTACTAGTATGTTTATAAACAAATAGCAGATAAAAAAACCCCCAAAGCATATTTTAAAAATGCATCAATTCATCAGAATTAGAGAGAGAACTACTGGAGAACAACACAAATCCCAAGAAAGCTCAGAACCTTGGAGTCTTCTCTGCCATTTTCCCACTATTCCTAACTAGTCACTATAGAAATGCTCTTTGGCATCCATAGTGAAACTTATTAGTGGAAGTGCATAATAGGTATATAAATCTTTAGAGAGCTAACTAATATCACAAAACTACTTGTTTTCTATATCTTAAGCCTCAGTGTATACTTCCAAAGTTGTCTTTTAAATGCATTTTCACATCTTGAAGATCTGAGACCATCTGGATATTCTTTCCTAGGTTGAAAAAGAAGTGCTGTCAGCATATAAAGATTTGAAAACCACTGACTAAAAAGGGTCTGTTTTTAGTACTGAATGCATTCAACATGAAGGGTATCATTTAATAGAAAATACTTTACCATAAAACTAAACAGATGTAACAAGTGTTTTTTCATTATAGGCTCAGAATCACCATGGAGTACAGATCATAGAAGCTTATTTTTCCCTACTCCATTCTCTAATAATCATTCTGGATTATTAGCTTTGGTGAGGGGATCTGTCAAGCTATTTATTACATGCGTAAGAGTGAGGCAGAAGGAATAGCCCTTCATTAATGAGCACTTGAAACTTCTGCTCTCTTAATGATCCTCAAAGCTTTCTCATTTTCAGAAGTGTATTTTAAGAATCAGAAAGATGGTTACACTTAACTAGAGCAATATTTGAAACGGATCCTTCAAAACTGGGTTTCAAGTAAAGTTGATTAACAAACAAAAAAAAATGCATGAAATTTAATTATATACTCTCCTATGTACAGTAATAGATTACTTTAAGCTTGGACAGAGGAAAGATGACCAGAAAGCACTGTACACTTTTGGTGATCTTGGGAACAGCTAGCGTTAGTTGACAAAGAACTATGAACAGCAGCCCTTTACTGAGCAGACAGTAGTAACCAGGAATTCTACATCATAATTTAAATAAATAAACAAGCAAACCATAAAGATTCTGAAGTTTACACTAAAATTCTTAAAATTGTTTGGAATATAAGTTACAAAAATACGGAAACAAATAATGGCAACATATATAAAAAAGAACAAATATCCACACAGCACAGATTGCTTGGAAACAAGATAGCATGTTTTGTTAATTTTCATTACAGATGGGTAGGCAGGGTTTATTTTATTTATTTTCAAATTGAGAAATAAGTTTTTCAGTGTGTTCCCATCCTCACCATAGCTCTGCTTCACACAGCAATTATTTCTCCCTAATGTTTCAAAGCCTTTTCCAAATACAGGGAAGAATTAAACCTAAGCAGCATTTTTTCCAGATGAAGATTAATTGATGTGACTTCCCATAAAGTTCCTATTACTAAAGACATGGTGACAGCCGTAACAACTGAGTTGTTGTGAAGTATACAGACTAATTTCTGAGTTTGAAAAATTAAATTATAGCTGGGGAGGGCTGGTTTTTGTCTGGGTTTTTTTTGCTTTTGCAGTTAAGTAATTTGTGCTCTTAAATCTCTTCACATTATGCAAAGAGATTGACTGTAATATTTCAAAGCCTGTAATTGTGATTTTTTCCTTTTTTTTTTTTTTTAATCTTTTGAGGAGTTTTCTATTTTAAAATTTACATTCCTACCTCCTATTTGCAGTGACTCAAAGGATGGCCTATGATTCTGAAAGCTTTATTAAAAACAAAAAGCCCCAATCCACTTTTACAAGTCATATGCTGGTATTTAACAAAATCTTATTTAAAACAGAGGTAAAAATAGAAGAAAAAAAACAAAGAAAGTTGACTGCCGAACTGCAATGATGAGGGTCTAAAATCAGTTAATTGAATAGAATTCTCAGTGTGTACTCCTACAGTGGTCCCATGCAGTGTCAAGCTTGGCATTTTATACCCAAGTATCAGACATTTAAACACGGAACTAAGAACTAGATTAAATTATGTTAATGATATCTAATGAAGTTCATGCTGAAGCAACTGCTTAGATCACTGTCATTTTTCTTCTTCAATAGGAGGCATGGAAAGCCTCCTGGAAGAGAAAATAAGCCACAGATCCATCTAGGCACTAGAACCGTATACGCATGCATTCAACTTCAGGACCAAATCAGGTGCGAGTTTACATTTAAGAGGGAACAACCCTATAGCATTTAGGACTATCTGTTAGGATTCGAACATGCACTTTTTCCAGGAAATTGCAAAAATTTAGATTTTTTGAATTGTGCATCAACTCTCCCAAAACATTGTTGCAACAGGAGTGTTGCAGCAGGCAAGAATTACTGTGGCTACACAAGATGCACTAAATTAAATCAGGATATGTTATAGAAAACGCATATGCACTTGAAATGATCCTTTGAGTCTGCTAAATTTACACATCAGTAAGACACACTAGTGTTTGTCTCTCTTCTTGTTAAAGCTGTCCTATATTCATTAATGGTAAGTTCTTACTAAGAAAAACTATTCTACCAGTATAAAAATCATGTATATGAATTTTAAAATACTGCTACACTTCTCAATTTTTTGAAATTTTTCCATCTTGCCAGTTTCCATGACAGCTATAGAAGCAAAAGGTGACTCATCTTAAGACAACCCAGTTACATAATCTTCAATACAAATACATTTTAAAGAGTGATATTTAGATTTATAACTATTGTAAGAACAAAGTAAAAATTTTATTGTGGCACCTTAAATGTGATTATACTTGATAAGAATATTTTGGCAACTTGTAATTGTGAGAGATTCTGTTTAATGAAAACATCCCATATGTAAAATTTGCCAATAAAATATTTATTCTATTTGGCTAGAATGGCAAGGTGTCTGTTCTATAAAAATGAAGCTTTTCTTCTAGTTCATCAGCATACAACAGCACAAACACGATAAAAAGGAAGTGGATTACAAGCTTACACTGATGAAGGACAAAAACTATTACAGAAAAATCCATGGCTGACAACAACAGAAAGTCATAGTCATGGTTATTTTTTGTTTGTTTTAAATGGAATGTGGAACAATAGTATTAATAAATGTTTTTGGTTTGGTTTTTTTTTTTTTTTTTTTTTTTTTTTTTAAGTGTTTCATTACAAAACAGGAAAAAAAAAGAGTATTGAATAACTTTCCCTTCCATACTGGAAAAAAAATTATGTACTTGCATAAAAATGAAGTTCCTAATTTCCTCACTAATGAGATTAAAGAACATTAATTAGAACTGATAATTTACTGTCCTAACCATCTTAAAATGCTCCTGCACCACTCGTGTTGATAGTTGACAAACAGAGAAATAGGAGTGAGAAGATGACTTTAATAGAGTACCTATATGATTACAAATGGTTAGCTTGATATCTAACTCAGGTAAGTGAAATTCTGCTAATAAAAAGAGGGATATAATTCATATCATTCAAAGGTTCTTTGATAAGTTAAACGAATAAACATAACCACCAGTATATGTAATAGACTTCTGTCAGGTACATTATCTGATGTGCTCCAATTAGAAAAAAGTGCAATGTAATACAAATGCTTATTGCAACAAGACTAAGATTTGGCTGACAAGACTTCCAAGTAATTTCAGCATCTAAAGCAGTTAAGTGGAAATCATTAAACAGAATTCTGTTTTTAACAGAATTCTGCCAGAACTGGTATTAAGGCTTGATGCTACTCCGTATTTTGCTTATGAGCTTAAGATCACTGATGAATATCACCAAAAGCCAAATAGCTGGATGTCAGTAGTTGAAGTGGTAAGACAAAACAATCTTCCTTGGTTGGTTAATTGGTCCCATTAAGAAGAGGGGAGCAAAAAAAAAAAAAGGATGATGCTTTTATAGAGCCAAATACAGAGTTCCACATAAAAAAAATCAGGGAACGCAGGACATTGGACTAAAATACAAGTCAGTATCTTGGATAGCAAGAACTGGGTTGGGGTTTGTTTGTTTTGTTGTTTTTTTTTTTTTATTCCCTATGAACTCCCAATACATTACAGTTAAAGAAGCTAACACAAGTTATGGATTTAGAAGCAGGACAGCACCGAGCAGCAGCTTTCTGGACCTGAAAGATGAATGTTAGAGTGTTGCATCTACTTCTTGAAAAAGGATTTTCAAAAACCGTAAAGGATTTGAACACTTTCCAAAAGGATCTTTGAGCCAACTCAGCTTATCAAAAGACAAGTTGAGATGACTAGCATGAAATATCTTCATGACAAGAAAATAAGGTAATAAAGGACTATAACAGTGACATAATAAAGAGATACAGCAAGTTTCAGATTAAAAGTGAAATGGTTTTAAGCATGACTGTATTCAACCATTGGGACCAGTTATCAAGAAAAATTATATTGCCTTCAAAATAAGAGAAGACTGGATATAGCATCTCAGTTAAAGATCTTGCTATATTTTACTGTGTACAACCTCTGCTCCTAATCAGCAAATGATATAAAGCCAAAAATTGTTCAAACGTTACACCCTGACATCCTTCCACGTGTTACTAAGTCATTAAGATAGGTAGGAAGATGATTTTTAAATGTTCTTAAAACAGGAGAAACGCGCATTCTAGAAAGCTACTTTTTCTGCAGAAATGTTTCCCATTCAACCGAAAACTTTATACTATGCCTAACATATTTCATTTAAATCACTGTTTTAAGTCACTTAATAGTTGCATTGCAAGGGAACAAAAATTCATTTCCCTCTTTACCAAGATGTGCATAGCTATAGTCCCTCTCTGATGTCAAGATGGCTGTTTACCTGTTCATGAATTGCTCTTTTGCTCTTCCTTAAATTAAGCAGTAATCAACATTCTTTGCTTTTCTCCCTTTTCCTAAGTATTTTAGTCACCCTTATCTAAGAAGGAAATGTGTGCTACGATACTAGAAGAGACAGTTACATTGTAAACCCAGCCCTTCTCCCCACATATATTTGGGGATTTTTTGTGTCAATTCCATTATGTTGAACACTGAGGGTTTATGAGATTAAATAGAAACAAGGTGCTAACCTAGAATTCTGTAAATACCATTACTTAATTTCTTAGCCTATGCTTATGGCACAAGCCCACTAACTTTGCTTTCATTGTTAAAAATTATTTGTAGCATAAAGGTATGGCAACTACCTTTCCAAAGGAGATGACAGCTCTTAGTTTATAACATGTTATATTTTCATTTAACCTTTTAAACTGTTTGAGGAAACGTGCTGGTTGTTTCTGTAATGGTTTATATTATCTTGTAACTTTTGGCCTATTGTGAACAATGTCAGCTTATTTTCATGATTAAGTCACATTACAGTTATAAGGTGTTTCTTCCCCTCAGTGCTCTGCAGGTAGGTTTACATATTTATCCATAATATGTAGCTGCAACTAGAATATGGAAAAAACCTCTAAGAATTGCTGTTGGCAGCATATCATTTACAGAAGGTACAATAGAAAAGAATGGGAATGGGCTGACATTCCAAAGAATTATTGTTCAAATACATTAAATATCAGACAATATTGAAGGTGAGAAATAAAAAAAAAAAAAAAATCAGACACTTTACCACTTAGTTATTCAGATGAGTGATTGCTCTCTGTCATTGCTGGTGTATTGACTTTGGTTCCAGTATACTCAACTGGAGCCACTGTCAGTCTTCCTGAGGACTGAACTTCTGTAAGCATACTGGATAAAAGGCTGACCTTCCAGAACACCAGAATTCATGAACAAATTGAAGACTCATGGATGTGTCTCGAATCAAACATCCTCAGTTTGCTATACAGCTATACAGCTTTTTAGCTCTCTCATCTCTACGCCTGGAGGAATTAAACCAAATTAGTTACTTAAACTAAAACAGTTCTCTTGTTCTAGAACTGGTTTCATCATATGGAAACTGGGATGGTTTCTATATCCAACTTGAGAAAAATCTCAATTATATATAGTTTACTTCAATCCCATGTAGCAGGTAAAGACACAGCCAAATTAAAGAGGTAAAGCAACTTCAAAAAACTGAAAGGATGTGGCAATATTCAAGAAGTCCCTTGCAAATAACTTACTGCTGATGTTTAAAGTAAAATTTAAACTCAATGCAGAACACTCTGATCCTAAGATCATGGAATACTAACATTTATTTCCAGATAAGTTGTAGTGGATAAGAAGCTAAATGTGCTTTCAAACAAGGAGTCTGAAAGCATCAAGTATTTTAAAGAGTTGCTTTAGGTCAAGCACATCCTAGCACAGTAACTCTACTTCTTTTCCAGTGGAAGTATCCATTGAATTTATGAGGATACAGAATCAAGTTCCCTCAACTAACTTCATTTTCAATGTACTTTGTATACTGGTTAGGTTTCAGTCATACATGCAATTTAATTCCACAATAGAACAATGAGAATTTATTTCCTACTGTCATCTGTATGCAGAAAGTGCAGTTCATACTCCCAAGCTATAAACATGTGGCTTCTGAACTGTAAGTGGTGCCACATACTAGCTGTTACGAGAGGGTAGATCCCCTGCTTCTTCAGGAAAAAAAAAGAACACAACCCATGAATGATCTTTTCAGCTGACATCCTAGTTACATGCCATATGTGTTTAGCTGTTTTAAGATAGGGGACCCACCGCACTCAAAAACAGTATCGGGTATAACACTAAAACTTTCTGTATACTGAAACAATTTATCAGTGGTAAGGAAACAGAAAAGAAAGGTATAATATTCTGAAGTTTTTTTAATTTTATACAAAGGTAATTTTATTTCCAGCAGCTAAAAAAGTAAAAAACTGAAGTGTCAGTACTACTAAACAGAGGGTGACGAGTTCAATTCATTGCAGGCAATATATTCTGTCAAAAACACTGCACTAATTTTTATAATTAATAGCATATCAGATCTTTGGAAACCAGATATTTTAAATTGTTTTTAGATTTATAGTAGTAAATGTTTATTTTTTCCCTAAAATAGCTGAAGTTATTTCTGATTTCACAACTGAAGTTCCTCTACTCTCTTCTCTGCATTTTGTATAGAATCACTTTCAAGTTGCATTAATTTATCTGTGCATCCTCTTTATACAGACTCTTTCACACAGAAGAAGCCCAAGGCAGCAAAGTTATTGAGGAATGAAAACTAAAACGGTGAAACCATCAGAAATATCTTGCTCTAAAATACTTTTCACATTTGGTGTTTGAAAAGGACTAGGTTTCAAGTCAGGTGGACTCATCTTTCAAATGAGTCCTATCTTTGAGAATGTTCTATGTTCCTTTTAGTATGATACGTACAAAGGCTTCTTTAACTCTGTTACTGCATAAAGATTAAGATACATAATAAACTTATAAAGTATGTTGTGGATAATTTGAAATAAAAAAAATCTGAAGGGTAAGAAGGTCCATAAAAAAAGATATCAGAAAAGGTGTTAGTTTAAGTTCAGGAGTGATTTATTTTCATGAACCCTCCATGATCTAGATGCTTTAAAGAGATGGGAAAAAAAAAGCTTAAAAAGGTAACAGACAAAGGTGCTGTGCAGAAACGTTAAAGGGAGTCAGAGAATTATGCTGGGTTGAGATTTATTTGCGACAGCTTTGCTCGCAGAAGCAAGGAAGATAAGCATCGGTCAGATGCCTGAAAGTGCTGTTGTGACTATGAACTTACAGGAATTGATTGACTCTGGTATCGTGCTGGAGGAGTTGTAAGGCCCATAAAGGAAGGTTGATGCGAACTCATCTGTCACGGCGCTGTGAAAACTGGTTTGGCCGCTCAGGTTGTTGCCACTACTGCTGTTTCTGTTGTACGAGTTGTTGTTCAGTTCATGGTTATTTCTGTGAGGCAGCTGCAAGCTGCCATTCAAGTGGCTGGACGTTTGGCTTACAGAAAAACCTGTCCTAGAGGACGATGATGTCATTTTGCTCTCATCATCATCTGAAGCAACGTACAGGTTCCCTAGAGAACTGGCTAGTCTGGAGTTTATGGAAACGCTGAATGGAAAAGACATGGGGGGGGGGGGGGGAAATACACACAAGGTATGTACAGATGTATACAAAAAAACAACAGACAATTCAGAAGACATTAGGTGAACAATATAGACCATTCTGAAATAATTTGTGTTTGCACAGAGGTTCATCTTCTAGCTCTCAAATAATGAAAACCAGACTTCTTTGTCAGGAGTTCCCAAACTTTGTTTATTCAAGCACTACCATGGCCAGCTGTCACCTCTGTCAAACCATATGCACATGCAGGAGATTATGTTAAAAGGTTTAGGCAGTGGCTGATCTACATTAAAGTACTTTGTGTACATGTAACAGTTTAAGAACTCCTCTTCTGTTTCTTGAAATCAGTAACATGATACAAGTCTTCAACTAACCAAGATGTAATATGATAAAATTTGAGAATAAAAATCGGGTGTCCTGAAATATCTCTAAGTTAGTTATTTTCTTCAAGTAAGTATTTGTGGCCGGAAGTTACTGAAAATGCATCAATCATTCTAAATTTAACATCCAAAATTACTTAGTACAATAATAGTAATGGAATTAAATAAATGAAGGGTTCATAAAAATCATAATAATTACCACTCAGTATTCTTCCAAGATTAACAGCATATATACTTGTGGGAATACTTGCAAAACTTCTGTAAACTTAGATGAGTGGGAAAAAAACCCTGAGCAACATAATACTGTTTCTGACTTGATAGAATCCTACCAAAATTCTCATACCAGTGGTACAGGTTTTGGTTTTTGTTTGTTTTTTTTTAAATCTGCAGGCAACTAAGGCTTGGCTAGTGAAACAGCAAATCACTTTGTAAGTAAATTTAAGCCTTCTTACACCCAAGAACAGCAAGAGCTTTGTAGCCTGCATATGTGCTGAAAACCATTGTAGTACACAGTAAATATTTGTACCAAAATGAGAAGAAAAAAAAAAACCTTTTAAGGTTAGAGCCTGAGGATGTGAGAATTCTGCTTATTCTTTCTGCAGATGGTGAATTAACTGCCATCACTTTGGAGGCCTTCAGAGGAGACATGGATCCTTCTGTGCTACCTGAAGTATTCAGTCTAAAAGGAGTGCAGAGTTTTAGTGAGAAGCAAGATTTTTATAATTGAAATATACATCTCAAAAACACATACAGTCTTTCAATACATAGACTGGTACTTTAAAAAGTGGGAATTCTCAAGTCTGAGTACTGAGAACAGCAAAAACTCAGTTTGCCTGTTTTCAAATATCTTTTCAAAAAAACTTTTCAAATATCCCATTCCCAAGTTCTCCCCCTGCTGTACCATTTTATACAGTTATAGGCTACTTTTCACCTTGATAATTTGGGAAGGCTAAGTGTCCATTTTGTATCAAATTTATTGTGAATTTGATTATAAATTTTAAATATGGTAAATTTGAGAAAGAATACTTTCTGTGCTTACAAAGCAAGTATGAGTAGAAAAAAAAATAACACTGTAGCTTTCATGAGAAGAACATCATAGTTTCCAAGTGACAGCAAGAACATTTTTACAAAGTTGCACAGAACATATAGCTCTTTCTAGGGTGGGACTCAATGACCAAATTCTTCATATTTTGATAATGACCTCTAAGTATGGTACACTGGACTACTCAAAAAAGTTAGCATTATAGCTGTCCATATTAGTTCATTAAAACCTAATAAACGAATAGCCTCGCAGTAGTATGACATTCTCTTCATCCAGGGGGATATTATCATGATCAGCTCTTAAAGGATGAAAAGACCTTGGGTACAAGCTACAAGCAGAGAAGGAATGACACTGAGCAGAAATAGCTTTAATTCCACACCAAGAAAGGGTGAACAGACATCTCCAAGGTTAGACATCTGGAGTAATCAATATCAAAAATCCAGGTTGTCACAAAACTGAAGATAATGTGTTCTTTTCAATATTAATGCTTTATAATGACAGATGTTTTGTCTTACATGTTGTATTTTAGATGCAACGGGGTAAAGGATACAACGGTTACAAAACCAAAAGACTCAATTCTGCCATTCCTATAACTCTTAAAATTAAGTCAATTTTCACTCTATGATTTATTTTCTTTTGGGAGGCACTGTCAGTACTGATTTGAGATTAGTACAGGTGATAAATAAAATAAACATTTAGAAAACGAGAAGAAACTATTGGCTTTATTGGCTCCACGGAAAGTTCTGAACAAAGCATGTAGTAAAGTGTACAGTAAGGACCCTGTATTAAAATATGGAAAGATACTAAAACTCAATATTTATCTGGTACATCTTCTAAAAAAGTACTGATTGTATCCACTAAGCAATACATCTAGTTCATCTACTAAAACAGACAGGACAAATTGTAATATGCAGGCGATACGTAGCCAATTTAGGCTTTTGAGACAAGTATTGAATTTTGCAGAGATAAAGTGGTTATAAGTTAACTAGTCATCCTTCGTTGCATAACAGCATAGATACTAGAAAATGTGACTGAGGAAATTACTTGTATGTGCTAATTATTTATTAAGAAGAATTTGAGGTATCCCTGAAGTAGAGCTGTACTCCTCTGTCCATTAGATTTATTTCCCCCTCCCCCCTATTTGCAGAAGTTTGTTACCTGCCACTTCTCAGAAGTCTGAAGTTGCTCATCAATTGATGTGGTAAGTATAATTCAAAACACTGAAAATTTAAGACCTGAGTGGTATACATTTAGAACTATAACTTTAAAGTTAATACCTGAAAGGTTGTGATATTGATCTGGTGTGCAGTTTCATGTCTTGCAGCCTAAAGAAACCAAAGCAGCAATCTTTATCAAAGGATAAAAAGCCTTTCTCCCCCCCCCCCCCAAAGCATACCTGCATGTCTAATACTGGCTTTAAAGTACAAGACTAATGAGAGTTAAGAGTTATTGACAATCATTATTTTAATTTACAGTTCAACAGCATAGAGGTACTTCAGGTTTATTTTCAAGCTTCACATTTTTACTGGTTCTGAAAAATTCAAAATTTATATAAGGAGTACAGAAAAGTAATTATAGAAAGATAACTAAGTTCACTGAAGAATATTTTGGTTGAAACACAAGTTTTAAAATGCTAGACATAAATGTGAAGGTTTTGAAATATTTTTTTACTTTGTCTTTTACTGCTACATAATAAGTAGGTATCCTGAACAGGGAGATAGAGGAAAAAAAAAGGAAATTCATAAACCAAATCTACAACTGATAAATACATACTTAGAGGATTCCCACTACAGAAGGTGGTACATCTAGTACCACTGTGGTAAACAAGGTCATGTACTTGCCATAAAGATCTGATAGCATAGCCTGCATTTAAAATTGCAAATTACCTTAGAATTCATTAATTACCTCAGAGCTCCAGTTGTAGCAGAACATGGCCGTCTCCGACTTTTTAAGGCATTAAGCTTATCTCCCTGTGTCATGCCATTCTGAGTTTCCACACCTGGTTTGTCTTCAAAATCATTCTGGGAAACACAAAGTATGCAAGCAAAGAAATAATCGTTAGGAGTAGTATAGTTTCAAAGTATTGAACGTCTCCTTCGCAAAGATTATAATTTAAAAGGCTAATCTACAGTCTTCTGCATACATGGGGCACTACTCTGTTTTTGCATACTTCCAGTAAATTAAATGTGTCACTGTACAAATGCACATTCACAGAGGCTTTTTGCAGAATCTGACCTCAAAGTCAGTTCAGGATGCTTGAGTCTAACGCCAGTATTTATTTACTTCAAAGCAGTCTGTTTTTATAGAACTTAAACACCAACTCATTCCTCCATAATTATTTTCAAAGTTATCATCAATGTGGAAGGGATGCAGTAACACACAATTTTGTGATATCCACAAGATGAAAAAGATAGGTAAAGTTGTGTGTCCTTCAAGAGGAGCTAAAAAAAAAAAAAACAAAAAAAACAACTTTCCTAATTTTTACTAATTTTTTTTTTTTTAAAATAAACATTTCTCATGACGTCTAGAAAAATAGAGTTTTGAAAAAATTTCCCTATGAGAACCTAATAAGGAATACAGGATGAAGAGATTTCCGGGTTTTATCCTACTTTTTCTAGCTTTAGAAAATATTACAAACTCTAAGAAATATTAAAAGGGTATACCAACACTGTTTAAATGCCTATTTATAATTTCTGACTGATCTCAAAATACTTCTCTAAGACCCAAGTATTAATTAGAGACAGTATCTTAAGTAGCAGAAATAGGAAAGTTAAACAAAGCAAGAGAACTGATTTTTTTCTAAATTGCCAAATGAAAAAAACCTTATACCAGTTATGCTTCATTTGACCTCAGATCAAGTATTTGTTTGTATTACTGCAGTTCCTATTGTGCCTAAGTGACCTCACTGCTCCGCATAAAACAGATCAATAGTTTCTACCACTAACCAAGATGAAAGATTGACAGAAGTAGTAATACAACAGAAATTAATCAAATGATGTGATGGTCCAAGTGTTGTACTAATTATAGGAAAATATAAATATTTTAGCTAGATTTCATTGAAGATTATATACTAGGCCATTGTTACCCATCATTCAGCCTCAATGCTGATATATTTTGTTTCACTGTCTTTACCTGCCCAACAGTTACTGTGTGTAGCTGCTCTGTCCTCTGATTCTTAGACCTTATGCATTCTGGGGACTGGTGTTACTTTGTTTTGAGCTTCTAGAGAGCCTAGTATAATGAGGTCTTGAAATATAACCAAATATCCAAAGACAGAAAGAGGTAAGTTAAATGTTTTGAAAACTGAATGTTAAACAGCTTTAATATGACATTCGTAAAAACCTGAAATGTACATATTACAGAGAGGGTTACAGTAGAAAAAAACAGCACTGTGAATTTATATTGTGAAACTGTACATAAGCTGCTCCACAGTGTACAGGTAGTTGAGTTACCTGCAGGTAAGTTGCCTTTAATACTGGAAGCAGTAAAGTTGTAGTAGTAGCTTAGATTCAAAAACATTACTTTTACCCATATGGCTATGTGCCAGCTGTTTTCATTAGGCATACAAGATCATTTCTACAGTGTTATATTCTCCAGTTACTAATCTAGATATTTAACTTTACATATTCCAAGCCACAAATTGAGCTTCCAAAAGGGAAACAGTACCTTTACAGAAATGCATTCAAGGTGCTTTTTCAGATTATGATAGATCAACATGACAGATGATTATTTTAATTTATACTAATAACTATCTGAAGATGCCCACTACATCCCTGGTTTTTTGCATCAATGATTCTGTCCTCTAAACTGCTTCTCACAGATACTGTAGTAAACCATAGTTTAAGATTTTTACTAGCCCAGAAGCAGAAGTATGTTTGCTTTAGTTCACACTTCATGCCTGTGCTTCCAATAAAAAATTGTAAGGTCCTTACCCTAAATGTACACATCACATCAGTAATCCGTAACACTGTGATAAAGGGATGGACATCTATAGTGTCATGCATTATTAGCTAGAAACTTGAAATAAATAGATTTCCAGGCAGAAAACTGACATTTTTTTTCCTCCTCCATTCTCCAATAAACAACTGAAAACCCTGAAAGAATGACTTGAAATAATGCAAACCTTCTGAAGTTTGCAAAATGACCTATAACAATTTTAAATATAACCTAAGCTTTTTTAAAAAAAGTGGAGATTTGTTCTAATTATGACCTATAAAAAAAGTTTAGCTGTGAAAAAGCAATCTAGTAGTAATACAAGCCTAAAAAAAAAATTATCTATAGCTAGTTATTAAAAGATCACCTCCATCTCTGCTTGTTTGAAATTTTTCCTACAAACTCTTACCTCCCTGCATTGATCCAAGTCTGGTACTTTATTCAAGCTGTCACTGATTGAAATGTCATTCAAGCCACAAAGAACTCTGTTAATGTTTCCATCAACTACTCGTTGTTTCTGCTTTGATCGGATGAGATCTCCCTCCAGCCACAACATTGCTTGCTTCCTTTAAGATACAAAACCAAATCAATTCATATCAACAGATTTGTGTACACATAAAAAACAATATGAAAACATGCTACTCTTACAGATTTGAATCTTCTATACATCTTCATCTGTAAAAAAAAATTTGAATGTCTATCACAAAAAAAAAGGAAATAATAATTTTCAATGGTTAAAAACAACAACAAAAGCGCCCCCCAGATTCACCAAACAAGTCTATAGCCATCACAGAAATATTACAAGTACTAAAACTTCATTTTACAAAATCCTACTGGGAAAAGAGACTAACTAAACCAGAATTTGCAATGGTATTTTAAAGGCTTTTAAAACACAACTTAAAAATTCATATAAAATAATGCTTTTTATATACATAAGGTGCAGAATAAATGATGATACAGCACTTTCCAACTTATTAGCATGAGTTTTGTGTATAGAGATACTGCGCAGTAAAACTACAGCTGACCTGCACAGTGGAAGTGGTCATAGTCACGTAAAGCTGAACAGGACTCTAGTCAATTTTCAGAAAGTGAAAGAACATATCCTTCAGACAGGTGGTAAAAAAAAATAATAATAATTTAATTGCTATAATGTGTATGGGCTAAACAGGCTTTTGTTGATGAAACTGCATTATTCCTCAATAAGGAAGTTTGCTGGGTAGACACTTGTCATGCTAGTTCCATCCAAGAACTGAGACCCTATTACATACTATTGTAACAAAATTAAATTCTATACTGAACAGAGAAAAAAAAAAGAACGAGGAATTAAATCAGAATATACTTTCACTGGAAACTTTTTTTTGTTTGAAAACAAAATGTTACGGCAAAGCTTAAGAGCCAAGTAGTCTGAGCCAACTGCCTAAACTTGCTCAATAATAAATGAGAAAGGTAAGCACTTCCAGAAAAATTTCACTATGTCCCAAGAAAACATCGAGAGAAGGGAGAAGGAGGGGGTGAGGGGAGAGGGAGCGCCACTTATTCCACTTAACAGAAGTAGCCTAGAAAACATGCTTGAATTTAAATACCTTTGAAATCTTTCAAGATTAATTGCCTTCACAGTAACAAACTGATTTGATACATACTTGAGTGGGAGGGTCTCTACAGAGAAACTACTCAAACCTCCCTTAATAAACCTCAAAGAATCTAAGAGATGAAGCTTTGACATCTATGAAGGTTGGGAGATCAAAGTTGCAAGATTTTACCTTTTTGTCAGATGTAACTACTCTGCAGCCCTGAGGGCAAGATATTTTATATTAGAACGATGCAACTGATGTTAGCTCCTTCTTTCTCAATCCCATTTTGACACTACTGGTGACATTGCTTGAATTTTGTCTGATTGTCAAAACAGGTATCTATTGCCATTAGGACAATAGAAAATTCTTACTGAACAATACAACAGCTCTTAGCTATGAATAATGTAGGTATGAATGAAAAATATCTGAAGGATCTTTGCCTATCTGTAAAATCAAACCAAGTATTTATATGCCGCTGCAGAAAAGACATGGGCCCTGTTTTTCCTATCTCTCAAGTAAACAGCACTTACTAATCACAGAACCTACTACCTTTCTCTTTAAATTTTGCTCTATTGTGGAAGTTATTTTTAAGAGCACATCATCCAAGCATCAGCACGGTGTGAAGAAGTTTAATCTGCCCTCAGTGAGCACTTATGGTTTGCGAAAGTGTGATTCACAGTATTTTGAATAATAGTAGGCCACCTCTCAAACAAAGGAGTGCCCATTCAGTTGCACTGGAAAATAAACAGGAATCCTCATTTGTGCTCAGTTTCTCTAATGAATTACAGTAATACTTTTTTCTCTCCGATATCCCACGGATTTTAAGATGCAAGGTCAGTGCATGTTTTACTGTATTTACACAGCATCTAGCAGAGCTGTTGCATTCCCTTTTTTCCAAGAAGAGACAAAATTGTGGTTGATTTTCTCAAAACGTTTTTCCTCATAACAGTGAAAATGCTTCCAACTAAGTATCATCACGGTATCAACTCAATAATATCAACATAACCACTGTAATAGTAAATGCACAATGTAGAAACCACTATGAAATGAAACTTCATGTCTACATCACTGAAGCCAGTGCAATTATGTCATTCATTTCCAGTCAGGATCAAACCTTGAATCACCCATTCAAATTATCTGTACACGAAATGTTCTCAATGCAAAATATACAGTCAATTTTGAGAAGCAGCTGTACTAAAACCATACATTGGTTAACAACAATTAGATCCAACTAATTGGATCAATGCTAACAACTGTTAGATCCAAATCAGAAATGCTTCATACATTATGCTAGGAATCTGACAGAGATCATAAGCTGTCCACCACATACTTATTTAATCTTTAGTTACGAGAAAGAAAAAAAAACATACCATCTATACTATTGTAAGATTCATTTTAAGTGTCACCATAGGCTATATATAAAGTCTATCATTTCTATATTAATATTTTAATAAATCCTTATTGTTGATTTAGTCTTTTGACCACATCTGGACTTTACACTTCCCAGACATTTGTCTTGAACTCCTAAATCCCCCAGAACACAAACATGCAGAGTCTTGAGACCCTCTGCCCCTTAAGGTGACAAAATGCATAGCACTCCAGAGAAGATGATTGCTACTGAGTAAGTTTGTTTGATTTCAATCCCAAATTAATGAACCTTAAATATATTGCAACAGGCAGTAATATACGACGGCAGTAGACAGAAAATAGAGCCTATAAACAGTGCAAGATAGATAAGGATGTAGAGAAGCAGTTGATTCTTAGTAGCAAATAAGGTATACATACTCTTCCAAGAAGTGTTGCTGGGGTCCTATGATAGAGCCTGGTCGACATATTCTTATCCAAGCAATGGCTTCAGCATGTGTGAACTTGTAGTGTTTCATTATGTAACATGCAATCAGTGTTCCTGTTCTCCCCAGGCCAGCTATAGAAATACAAATATCAACATTCACATATGAAATCTTGAGCATTTCATAATTATCAAATTGAAGTATGGAATATGAAAAGGCTTCTTTGCAATGGTATTCACCACCTTAATATTTGAAGAAAGAATTTCTGATTCAGTATCCCGTTTATCACGTAATTGGATTTCAATGCTGTAGATCTAAGAACAAATATATCATACTTGTAAAAAGTTAACAGCGTTTAAGAACGCATGCAACAGTGATCACTCTTGGCACTTGTACAATTCTACTTGAAACTTTTTTTTTTTTAAAGGCTGATATTTTAAAAAAGCTGTCACCAAGCTGGATACAAACTTCATATTTATAAAACCAGTAAAAACAAAATCAAAGTACCTTTGAGAGGCCAACACACGTACTTTACAAATCAAGGTTCAAATACATGCAAATACAACACAACAGATAGCAGCATGTGTCTTCTCAGCCAGTGGCTTTTTGTTTTTGAATCAGTTTTGTTGTGAAACCAACCTATAAAACTATTCACGGCTATACGTATAAACAACAATCAATGTTGACCAGCATGTAATTTTATATATCAATAGCTTAAAAAATTATTTAACCCATTACCCCCCAAATCACAAACTAATCCTGGTTTTAAGGGGAGAATAGAGAGACAGAAAAATTAGCTTTTGCTATCAGACCAATCTCTTAACTGTAGAGTAAGCATTAATCTCTTTCTAGCCCTATGTTTTATCTACTAGTAAAGTGTCTCCCCATTTAAACCTTATTTTCCCACAAATACAATATTTGCAGTTCACAGTCTCATGGTGGCCAGCTATTGTTTATGCACCAACAACTATCTAAACAGAAACTCTCTAAGCAGCCAGACATGCTTGCTGACAATTCTATACACAACTACAAGCTCGTTACATTTAACCAATAACTAAATCTTGCTGTCACTTTTTGGAAAGTTAAGATGATTCAGGTAAAAGGCTGAAGGTAAAAGTTCACAAATAGTGAGATTCCATAACTCTACACTGGAAGACTAGCTCTGAAGAATCATTTAAAAAAGGGGAAATATTGTTAGAGACACAGTTTGAGGCTTGGGGATTTTTGTTGTTGTTGTGGTTTGGGTTTTTTTTAAATGCAAAAGGAATGCAACATGCAAACAGATAATGAAGAGCTGTACTATACTAAACATACATCTGAATAAGAAAACAGTCTCTGAAAATTGCAGGTAATATCTACCAACTGCATGTATCACTAAGACTTCAGTTCTTTTCTCTAAGTTCCTACTAATGTACAAACTTTCCATAGCAACCCTTTGCATTAAACCATTCTATAACTTCTGGGAAAAGCAATTTCTTGTGTGGAAGCTGTGCTTGGAATAGTTCTGCAATAGCAGTACAAAGAAGACTACAGACAATACATTAACTCCAAGTTAACTGTTGATTTAACTTTTTATAGGCTTATTTAGAAGGGTGTAAAAAACCTAAAAAGAATGAGATTGTTGGTTTGCTTATTAAATGGTCAGACGAAAGACCAAAAATACTTCAGTTTAGCACGTGCATATCTAAGTCACTAGAAAAGTATATTGTATTTCTCTTTAGCAGCTAAGCCTGGAGAATAACAATCTACTCCTGCTGATCAATAATTTATACTCTCATTTAGTCAATGAGCAGATGTCCAGCTTATTAATGCCAGAATTTCTGGGTTCTAGCCACGGTAACAACTTGTTAGCAAACAAACTTATTTATCTTTGATATGAATGTTTATTGTTCATGGAAAAATTATGAATGAATAGCATGATTCTTGTTTCAGATCAGCAAGACATTTGTCTCCACAATGTCCTTACACAACTCTAAACATAAATCGAGCCAAACCCTTCAAAGCCTTTGTTAATCATTCTCAACTAAGCACGTTTTGTGCCTTTTCTGGCTGATTTGCTGAAATATGCTCGTTTGAAATGCTGGCATCACAATAACTCACATTAACTTGGAATGTGGAAGTCATGCTCCACAGAAAAATGTAGAACAGTCCAAAAGCACAAAGAAAACCTTTCAGTCTTTCGCATTTCCTAGCCAATTATCATAATGCTGTGAAAGCATAATGCAAAAGAGAAATCTCCAACTAAAACTCACGCCTTCAAGTGATATTAAGAAAAAACAGAACAACGAACAACAGATTGTCAGTTACTGTAAGTAGTAGTGTAGGATGAAAGAACTTAATGTGCATATGAAAATAACAAATATTTGTCATATATTTAGTCAAATATCATAAAGCCATATTACTTTCACAACCAGAAAGCGTTATTTTTAAAATCATTTATTTCTGGAATGAACGCTGCGGATTTATACTTACTTTAAACTTCGATCTGAGAAATAAATAAGTGCACATACCTTTACAATGTACAGCAATAGCACCATCTGCATTTTCACAGATGTTCAGGAACCTCTGAACTATACTGTCGCTTGGTGTGCTTCCATCTATGAAGAACAGGTCATAATGCTCAAAACCAGCATCAGTAAAGCGTTTTGCCTCATAAATTTTTTTGTTCAGTCTTATGATTGATGTGACATTATGTTTCTTGAAATAGGGAAAGTAGGCTTCAGGTGCATGAAGAGGATAACCTATAAAAAAAATAAAGCAACAATCATTTAATGTCATAGATGAAGTTCAAAGTTCTACTAATCAAAATTGCCCCCAAAACCTTTTCTGAAAGATAAACATGCTAATACTGAAAATGCTTTACTATTTTATTCAGCATGAACATGTTAAGTGATATAAAAAAATTCTCCACAAAATGCTCATGAAGACCACTATAATTAAAAAAAGGATCAGAAAAAAAGAAATGTGTATTTCACACAGTGTATGTGAAACACCATACTGTCTCCTGTTTAGCCCATTCCTGTCTACAAGTAGGGTTTTATACATAAAGCTAGAGACATATATGAATTCAGCATTTCAGAACAGCTATTTATCTATGGTCAAGCTGCAGATCAGAGAATAAGAACATGCTTTAAGAGGAAACAGTGTTTATGAGGAAAATAGATTGGTGATCTATACTATGGACAAGAGGAACAGTCAAAAGATAAACTGTAGTACCAGAAATATTCTGTGAAATAAAAACCCTTTAGTGCCTTGATTCAGTTGAGAGACAAAAGGATCCTCTAGATGAAGATGGGGGGGTGGGAAGGAAGGTCAAAGACCAACCACACCACAACTGTTCAGGACACTTTCACCAAATAGATGTTCTCTGTTGACAAGCGTGTGAGGGACTGTCTGCACATGCACACGTCTGTAGGATGTATGCATGTAAAACGTAGTTTATTCTTTCCCATTAACAATTAAGTCTTATGAACAAAAGACAGGAACAACGCAGCTACCACAAAAATCAGAAGGCCTGTCATTGACCAAATTCACTGGTTTATCTCTAGAATTTTTGTTCCTGTTCAAATAAAGTCCAAAAGCTTCCTCACAAAACATGGGTCATTTCTACAAGTCATATAGGCATTAGTAAATGCAATTAGAGTCACAACATAATGAGAAAAATGTAGCTTTGTAATGTGTACTTACACTCACCTGGGTGAGGCTTATTTGTAGCCTAATTAAGCATTAGTGCTAATTTAGTAATTTTCAGTTATATACATGTTAAAAATAAGACACAGGTTTTCCAAATTCCATGGAATAATTTAAATATTTTTTGAAAAAAATCTGCAAGAAGGGACTGTAACAGTGATTGGGGAAGAAACCCAAACCAACTTAAATATTTTCTTCCTGGATTTTGTTTAAATCTTCTGTTGACACTATGCAATTAGCAGCATTCCAGTCATAAAGGAAACATGAGAGAGCAGGGGTGGGGGGAAAGAGGTAGATATTCATAAAACATGTTCACATAAAGAAAGTGACATGGCACAAAGAATAAGGTGAAATTCAGCAAAAATCTGATTGGAGTTTTTAATTTTTTTTTTAGCTGGACCAAATCTCTCTTTTCCCTCTGCTGGTCAAGCTTCTTTTTTTATTCCATTAGAATCACATAGGTTCTTCACATTACCCCAAGAATCTTCAGTAGTAAAGGCAAGCTTCTTTTTCAAGTCTTTCCTGGCCTTTGTTACAAAACTCTTAATACAGTCTCCTTTGCTTTATGCAACTCACCTTTAATTCTGCATACTTATCGTATCAGGTGTCAGGTTCCAGGAGAAAAGTAAGGGGCCTGAATTTCTCAGGCACTTTGTCACTGAATGAAAGTCACTGACTGTTAGAAGAATTGGAATTCTTCTAGCAAAGAAGAATTTTAAAACCTTTGGAATTATGTTCTATGATTGTATGTAAAATGTTCACTGTATGATTATTTCTAAGGATAAAAATTAATCTATAAACCTCTATTATCTTCTGCTCATTTGTGACTGTTTAACATGCTGGAGAAAATAAGATCATAGAATAGCATTAAAATACACACCGTACCATTTTCAAGTTTGCTTTTTGGGTGTGGTCCACTAAATGCTAAAAATTTTCCTGGAACAATCCAGTTGAAGTCACCGTTTTCCACTCGCTATAAAAATTTCAGAAGAGAAAAGCATTTTAATATCTGTACATACAATGTTAAAAAAGTTACTCAAGATTTTATTTTACTTTTCACCATGTTCTTGCTGCATTAAAACAAAACACTTGAAATGTAATTAGCTAGCTTACCTATATGGGACAAACTAACTAACCATAAGCTGCTTCTCAGAAATCTCTTAATAAAATGAAGCGCAAAAATTTTTGCTGAAGTTTTCCAATAAAAGCAGAAAGATCCTATATCTAAGATGTTTCTCCTTTAGAGGGTTCAGCATTTTAAGATACCTGCTTATAACAACACTGACAAACACCAACATTCTTGTACGTTTTACTCAAACAATACGGAAAAATACTTCCCCGTAAGGCACTGGCTAAAAAACCCAATTCATAGAAAACAAACTAATAAGCAATTAAGCCTTCAAAACCAATTGTCCTTTCCCTGTAGAAACTGAAATTTACATACTGGCATAAGTTCTGATGAGCCAGTAACCATAGAAGCAAAGTACAAATCAAATAAAAAGACTAAATTAAAAAAAACCAAACCTTTCAAACTGTGATGTTTTGCATTTCTTGCTCACTGTTAAATGAAAACTTAAAAAAGGCTCTGCAAATTCTGTCAGTGCCAAAACTGGAAGCTTCTTTGGAAATACATAACTGAAGTTTAAAACTACCTTTTTTTTTTTTTAATTGTAGAGTGCTCATTCTTCATTTGGCAATGCAGTTATTCTCAGCATGACTTTTAAGGACATGGCACTCAGTTCAACTGCATTATTAAGCTTGTGTTTTTAGCTCTCAGCTCATCAAACATCCTAATGAGTGAAAGGTTCTGATAATGGACGTTGCTGTAATCAATTCACCGACTGTTTGCTTAGCTAAAGCCCATTAGGCTTGCTCCAAATGTCCTCACACAGTGAAAACTCCTGTAAGTTAACAAGGTTGCATAAGGACCAGTGAACCAATCTTACTGCCAAGTCAGAACCCCTCACCCACCCGAAATTTGTATTACAGAGTGCAATCTCATTGTAGCACCTCTACCCCCTTTAAGGATGAAGTCCTGTTCAACAAATTAAAGGTATTTTTGTATTTGTATCACCAGTTTTATATGTGAATTAAGTACTTCTTTATAGTTACATGGGTTATTGTGAATAATTTAAATTTTAACCAACCTGAGCTACAGATATATATGTATATGTGTGTATATATACTGACCGCTACATGCAAACAACATTATTATTAAAAAAAGAGAGAACTTGAGTATTTTACATCTAGTCCAACAAAAGGGGAATTAGCTGCCTTGATAATGTAGTAAGATGAAAGAACTATAAACGGGAAATAAAATTTCCTTTAGCCTGCTCCCTTTAAGTCTTATGCAACTTTTCTCCACATAACTACACATTTGAAGACCTAACATAGCAAAAACCTGGAACACAAAGTTTTAGAAACATAGCACAGGACATATCTAAACATACAAAGCTGACCATGATGTGTAAAATAATAGAAAACATACCAAACAATGGACAAAAAATTAAAGATGATTCCAAGTTCTTGCTTCTTAAACTCAGACAGCGGGCAGCTGTCACACATACTTGTCACAAACTAAAATAATGTTAAGGATTAAACAAGATAATGTATAGCTTTAGTCAATTATTTTAATTTTTTTTTTCAGGCAGATTATCACCTACTATATGTACAGATTCCTAAGAATTCCCAACCATCATTTGTTCTTAGAACAAACATTTTCCTTTTGTAGATAGAGTAAGCAAAAGGGCAGCAATTTCATACTTTAAATTTTAGTTACTGTTCATTTAATTTTGGTAATTCAGCAAAGGCTATACACCAATTTCTCTATCTAATCATTAGGGAACATTACAGTATACAGAAATCCTTCTACGAATGCTTTTAAGTTTTGTGAATAGCTATATGTTATAGTGTGCCTATTGCAGCCAAAGTCTACTGTATAGATTTGTGTTGTAAATTAAGTTTTTCCACTGTTCATTCCTCTCCTGACTTCATCCTCTTTCTTGAGCACTTATGAAGCATTTCGTATAGCTGTATGTATTTCAGATATGTACTGAATCACCCCCATCTTCTTGCTATTAAATAACTATTACACAAAATAGTTATTTATCAAATGTTACAGATTTCAGAAAAGCAATTATCCCTAAAACTCGCTTAATATTAGAAATATTCAGCTTAAGATAATAAATTTTAAAATGGACATTTTCAGACTAAGCAGATTTATTCTCATTATTTCCAAATTTTCTGAAAATTGCAATAGAGGGGCGAATACTGGCTACAATAAAGTAACACAACTCTAAAAAGCGAGTTTAATATATATTCAAATGTTTAGTACACTTGTAGTTTATATATCCTTCTCCTTAACCACTGCAACTGCAGGAACTTCAGGGAGTTCCAAAGACAAGGTCCAATACAACTACATGGTTGTCACTGACCAGTAAAAACCCTTTCCCTTCCTTTGAGTGTGGGAAATGGTAGACAAAGATCATGCAACTACTCTGGACCAGATGTACATTCACCTCCTGCACCTCCAATTTCCTCTGTACACAGCCCAGCTCACAGGCACACTTCAAAGGTTCTCTGCAGCAATACAGCTTGAGATAACTGTCTACTACTAGCAGATAAAGGTGTGTATGTTACAGAACAAAGTCCTAGAAGCATCTAGAGTCACCCAGAGTATCTATTCTTAAGTTGTAAGAAGGCTGGCAGAACAATGAATGACATCTTTAGTTTTCTGGGACTTCATTAGGGGAAATATTTTACATGTCTTTTCATTACCGAAATCCCCATATAATGCATCCTTACTAAAATAAGCTCAAAATGTGCTTAATCTATGTGGCTATAAAAAATTTATCATATATTTGGGCCTAATAGCATCTCAAGAAGCAGCTCAACAAGTGTTGAAAGAAAACACAGATTCTGTGGGTCAGCTGAGAGACCTTGCATCACATCCTGGGGGAAGGCTGGGAAAGCATGAAAGCGGTCCCAGAAGCCAGAACGGCTATGAGAAAACAGTAGATTTCTTATGTGATGCACTGAAATTGCAAGGATATTCATCCTGCCTGTTTTTGACAGACAGCATACAGGTTTGGATGCACACACCTTACATATGAACACTGGGTTTTACTTGCATTAAGAGGTGTTTCCAGTATGTTTTCAGTTGTGGGATACTGTATATTCTAGCTTATTTTAGGTAAACCAAGCACATTCAACTCATTTTAAACGTACAAACCTCATAGTGTTCATATTCATCCACATCAAATGTCTTAAAGTCAAAAAATCCATGCTGCAAGGCCTAAAAGGCAACAAGGTGTCAGTTTATTCTGAAATATGATATATAATCTCATTTTATAATATTGTTTTTGAGAATCAAAACTAAAATGACTAAACGTTTGTGCTTTTGGCTTATTGAAGACTCTATGGTAAGACAACATTACATTTTGCACAGATTAACAATACAGACAACAAAAACTCCAACGTCACTAAAGCATGTGAGGCTCATTATTTCCCCTTCAAAGACATTACGATGTGACATAAGGTTGTTGCATATCACTTAAATCATAAAATTTATTCTCCCCACCCCACTATGCATGTTTTTTTCTGTAAGGCAGATTAAAAAGCAATTCCCTTTTTGTCACACACTCATTCAATGATTTCTATGCCGAATACATTTTCATGCAGTTCGACATAACAAAATACAGAACATTAAGAGTTTATTGATTTTCTATACTTAATATAATACTCTGATTTTATCACCATAATAGTCAGGAAAAATGGCACATATAGAATACAGTAGTGTGTATAACCTGTATTTTATGATTTGTTTTTAATACACATTCCACTGATAGAATGAAGTCCGCTAGACTACATTAGACAGTATTTATTACAGGATTGAAAGAAGTCAAGTTTTGTATTTGATTACTGTACTATTATTAATTTGTACAAAAATTGTGCCAATTTTGTACAAAAGATTTGTGTATAATACCATATTAAAAACAATTCTCTAAATAAGGAATTCATAGCCCAAATTTCTTCCAAGGAACAGGTGGAACACAGTTCTGCAGCATATATTTATACTGAATCTACTGCATTCTGAGAAGTATAGATATTACACAACATTCTGGGATTAAGGTGTGATAAAAACACACCACAGATCTATGATTCAAAAACCAATAATCATCAGTCTGCCATTATTTGCTACACATAGACCACCTTTTTTAAGACAAAATAAAAATAGCTTTGTTATAGACAGCATAGGCTCAATGACTGGACCCGTCATGAAACCTAAGATACCGAGAGGTTTGTCTGGACAGCTGATTTTGAAAAACGTATTTCATTTAAGCATGGTTGGCTGCCTGCACTCCAGAATTTGTAGGCCCGCTGAATTACATGTATATGATATATGTGCATGCAAACACCAAATTTACCCAGGTAGACTAAGATTTTACGTTAGATTAAGGCATATGGTTTCTGCTCAAAGCGTTTTTGCCTCTGTAGGTGAACTGGACAAAAATTCAGTAATAAATTCTATGGGAACAAAGGAGGAAAAACTGATTCTCAAAGTCCTTTTGATGTGTTTGTTGCAGATAAATTACAGTGACTGCACTGACTGCTTCACAGAGCTTCAGGATCTGTAGAATGCCACACAAATTAGAGTCTTGCTGTTAACTGACAGCTCCTTTCCCACCCCCACAGAACTAAAAATATTAAGCTTGATCTCTCTTTTTTCCAATTTTGAAGAAACATTTGTTTTGCCATACTTTTAAGAATTACAAATAGTCTATAAAATGTCTGTACAGAACTGTTCATATAGCCTGCTCCCTTCATCAAGACCAGTGGGAAATGATGAACAAAATTTAATCTTTGCTTATAGTATGAAGCATATACTGTAACACAAGGTTGCCAATTAAGATGCTGTGTAACATTTTAACGAAAAGCAATATTGGAGCTTAGTATTCCCCAGGACCAGGACTGTTGAAAGTGACACATCAGAACACCAGTAACATACATTAGTTTTCATTCTTTTTAAACAATTCTGAAAAGATTAGGGTCAAACACTGAACCAACGGTTTTGGGGGAAAGTTGGGGTCACGTACACGCAAAAACTGCTCAGATTAAATCACAGTATACCTAGGTGTCTGTCTCACTTGACTTTATCAACCTACGTTACTCCCTTTTACCCATGGCTATAAATGATCTGTTAGCAGATCTAGTGCTCTGCCTTGCACTGTTGAGTTAAGAACCACCCCCAGCCAGGCCTGGTGCGTTTGCACATTCCGATTCACAAGGTGAAGTTCAGAAAGCTGTCGAAGGCCAGGCCAGCCAGGTAAAAGTGTAACCTTCTTCCATCATCACTACTCAAATACAGTCCTCAGTAACTCAGGCTTCATGACAGCATACTACTCATTCACACACATTTCACTTTGAAACTAGATTTTCTAATGTATTTTAACAGCATTTTCCTTCATGATTTAAAAGTCAATTTAAATCTGTTTTGCTTAGGAAAAGTGTTATTACCTTATTTATTCCCTGTAAACAGTCCAAGATCGTAAGATTGTATGTGCAGTTCCCAAATGAAGCATCCCTATAGATGTAATACAAATGAATATACACATAATTATTTTAAGAACTCAGGGAAAGGCAGCACACAACAGAGTATATTCAAGTTATTAAATCCCCTCTGAGAAATCTGAATTAAAGTTCGAAGAAGACATCTTTTTAGAAGCTTGTTCATGCTAAAGCCCTCCCCTACCAAAGATGTAGCTCGTTATAAATGCAGTTAGATACTGCAAATTATTTTAAGTGCATATTTTACATCATCTAACTACACACCCTTTACCAAATTATTTATGCTGTCCTGGAACAGAAAGCTTTGCATCCTCTCTCAATTGTGTAAGGATAGTGGCAAATAAAGCAAAACTTGCCTCGACCATTATTCAAGTCTTAATTGAGTTACACTAACAAGGAAAGGCAAATAGACTACTACTTTGGATTTCATTTACAGTCTCTCATTTTGATGCCTGATTACAGATGCGATTAAAAACTATCCAGATATAATTAAGTTTAATATTACTTGACCTCAGTTCTGCCACTACGAAAATAACAATTTCTCTTTAAAAGATGACAGGATACCCAAAGCAAAACATATTCAAGTAGTAAGAGACATGAATATAAAAATAAATACCACCACCAAAAAAATAACAGCAACAAATGTATCGTGGAAAAAAGAAAAAGTGCTTTTCAAAGTCTGCTTCAGACCAGTTTGCATTTTAACAAAATTCTGTCTGGGTAGATTATTTCCTAATCACTCATTAAAGGAATCTTTTACAGTTTTGCTCTAAGCTGTCTTATCCAGAATGCTAAGAACTACAATTTATCAGAATAGCAAAATTTTAGGTTTCAGCCAAATACATCTTTAATCTATAATTGATTCAAAATTTTCATTGAAAACTTTCCTTTTCTGATAGTCTACTTGCTATAAATAGTATGAAATTTGTTATATCAATATGCTCCTTCATCCCAAGTACTTTAAGAGTAGAATATTCTTACCCATTCTTTAAGAGCATAAGTATGGCGGTTTTGAGAAAGCAGTGTTCATAGAAAATATATTTAAGAAAATCAAAAGTTACGATTTCGGTAGTGTCATATTACAGGCAGGTTACTCTAGAAAAGCTTTCAAGTTATTAGATTATTAAAAAATACTTAGCTACAATGTTTTAGAATGGGAACTTTAAAGTGTGGATAAACCTTCAACATCCAAATCTAACAGTTTTTCAAAATGAAAAGCCATAAAGTATTTTCTTTACATTAGATAAGCAGAACATACCAAATCTGTAAAATAGAAACTTTACAGACAATACATTTTTGACAGAGAAAACTTGGATAACAGATCATTTTAACACAAAAGCATATTAGCGAACAAAAAGGTCTTCTGAGCAAAAAATCTTAAGGCTCCAATAGGAACACATACATAGCAGAAAATCTTTAAAAGCTGTAACCATTTTCTGAAGGGGCTGACAGAAACAAAACCTAAAACAATACAAACCACAAAATTAAGTATTTAGAGAAATAGGAATGGAAGATACAATTGTAGCAGACGTATCCCATATTACATGTTATTTTGCCGTAACAAGAATATAATTTTTATTTTATCTATGTGTATATAACTACTTCTTCAACTAATAAGGCATCTGATACTGCAGTACCTAAAAACAATACTGGAAAAAAGCCATATAATCTCTAATCCACTAATAAGAAGCGCTATGAGAGTAAGAGAGAGAAGGAGGACATTGAACTTGACCTAGACATACAGGATAAGCCTACCACAATTCCAGGTGTACAGTAGTCTTAGCTACAGTTCCCACAGACAGCTATTACCAGTGGAGCGCACATGGATGCTGGCAGCTAACATCTATTGCCTACATCACCCGTGCCTTAAACGTCTCGTTTCTGTCACTGTGCACCTAACCATTAGGTGTACTGTGACTGGAGAAAACAGCTCTGCTGACACTTGTTATCCACACACAGTGAAATAATAGAAAGATGGAAAGCAAGGAAAAGTCCAAATAGGCAAAGTTCTGGAATAAACAAATAAAAACCTGTTTAAACCTAATCCCAAATTCCCAGAAATGCAAAGAATAGCAGTATTCTAATTTTTTTTTTAAAGAAATGCAATACACTGAGTTAACATCTGAAAAACTTATACCCCCATCTATCTTTTGTGGCAGAACGCGATAATGTAATGAAACCATAAACAAACACTAGATATGAATGACAGTACAGCATGGCAGTGAAATAACACCTGGAAGCAGTGGTTTAATATTACCCAATGCTTCAAGGGAAAGCATGATGTTTGATGAACAAATACTGAGCATATCATATCAGACCTTGCCATAATCTCTCTTTCTCTCCCCCTCTGCCCCCCAAGTACCATCCGGTAAGAAAACACAAGTAAATCATAAACGTTCCTTCTATTGTAATTTGGAAAACAAGAAAATGGAACAAAGTCTATGCACCTTTTTTTTTCTTCTTAAAGCCACACAGCCATTTTTATTTTAGCACTCCCAATTCTTTTTAGGGTAAATCCAGAAATATATATATATTTTTTTCTTTTCTAGTTTCCAAAAGTACAACTGCCTGATTAGAATCAATTTCAGATGCAAACCCCTTTCTGAAACTTTACTGTTTTACGCTCCAGAATTTTAAGCTAAGCTATCTACAGGTATTTAATTTTAGGTGTAAGAACAGAGAAATTCATCTGGCAGAAGTTTTAGGTATAATCCATAAGGACTCTGCATGCTGGACCCATTGATACAGTAGAGAGATATCTGAAGTACAGGTAAGGCAAGTGCTTGTGGATTCAGTATTAGGAGATGAGACCCAAGTTACCAGTTTCAGAACACAGAGCAAACAACAAAATACACTTTACAGAGCTGTTTTAAATATTAAAACAATTTAAAAAATTATGAAAAAGTCACAGTGTACTTATGAAGTGACATTTTTAATATTCAATCTTCCTATCAAATAGATTATTTCATATTATTCCAGAGAAGTGTTAGTATTCCTTTAAGAGTTTAGTCAAAGAGCATTTTGCAGAAGTATTAGAGAGGACAGACGCTTAACACCAATCTTACTGCCAACTACATGTCTAGAAAGGCCTTGAAATACTCAAAAGGCAAAGATTAAGAGTTAATCGCGACCTGATTTCCTGAATGCTTTAAATAAATTACTCAAGTAAAATATCTTTTTGTTTAGAGGGAGTTGTCTAAGGTATTTTAAGTCACTAATTATTTTGATTCTTTCTTTGTTAAAGGCAAAACCAAAACAGATCTCCCCCCAAGTCACCTAGAGGACTTCCTCCAGGCTGAGGCTGAGTTAAAGTTCTTTTTCCAGCCCAGAGAAACCAGTCAGAAGTCATGTCAAATCGTTAAGAAGCTTTGTAAATATTTAAAAAGCAAATTTGATCTTATTTTCTGAATCCTCTTGAATTAATGCATTTACTGGAGAAAACTAAATAATTAAAAACTAATGCAGAACAGCTAGTTCAATTTCACTGTTCTTTCTGTCAACCCATCTTCCTTCCTACTGATGTATAAATTTCCAGACCATGGATAAAAATATTGGATACTGTCGGAACTAGTACTAACTGTTACAAAAATCCCGTTAGAAATACAGCTATTCTCATACCACATTGACTTGATAAGTCAATTATATAGCGCTAGATCCACCAGCATGCATTTTCTTTCTACCAATGACAGATATATTTCAAAGTTAAAGCAATAATTAATAATACTAATTTTAGCTTGCATAAAACACAATAGATTCTGAATGGGCCATGCTTTGTACCACAGTAAAACCAAATGCAAGCACTAACAGTTATGAGGAAGAGCACTGTAAAGAAAAAATACCTTTACTAACCTTGAAGAAACATATAATTTGAGATGAAATTAAAATTAATTCCAGACATTCTTCCTATTTAAACTTATTCTTCTTTGTCCACTGTACACAGTCAGCATCCTATCCTACAGAAAGCTAATGCATGTGCTTACATTTAAGACAGTAGTAATTTTTGACTTACTGGGACTACTTATGCATATACAAAAACATTTACGTGTTTTTACTCATGGAAACCAAGCTATTTGGATTTCAAATGTTATACCTTTTTGTTCAACTCAGAAGTCTGTGTTTAAAAAAGCATTGAAGAGAAAGGAAGACCTCATTTCACATCAGGATAATAGAACAGAGCACATACAGACATCTCTCCACAGTTTTACAGTGTGGGTGCTCGGATTTCTGTTGCTGATCACACATTTCATTATGTATTCTTCCAGTCTTTTACGGCCAAATGGATAACCATCTTGATTTTCAAACAGTGTGTTACCAACTATTACCTGATAGTACTCTATTTGCTTTCAAAATGAGAAAAATGTGAATATTTCTATGAGATACAGATGTAGCATGAATCTGAGCTGGCATTACAAAGCTGCAAATCCCACATCTGATTTCACAGTTATTGTAGCTGACCTCAATACTGCATATAATGCTTTCCCTTTCACCAAACCTCTAAACACTGTCAATAGCAAAATTGCCATTAAAGAAACAAAACCCAAAAGCTACAAACTAAAATCTAGCTCTGAAATTCATGTCATATGTAGATACTGAACACAGTAATACTAAAATGTATTCGTTTTTTCTCTTTAATATAAAGTCACTACAGAGTAGTTTGAGGTAAAAATCTAAAACTTAGTTTCACAATAGGAAACTGGTATTTATGATGATTTAAAATGGTGTTAGCACTGTTTTCTTAAATGGACGTGAGAAGATACAGTACAAGATCTTCAAGGGACTAGAGTGTCACTGAGTGACAGCGAATCAGCCAAAAATAAGGTGAAAGTGTCTCGAGACAGTAGTGTGTTATCCTCCTGCTTTGACTTTAGTTTTTCTATTATTTAAAAAAAAAAAAAAGATTTCCATGTATCTTGTAAGAGGGTTATTCTGATTTCCTTCTACCCCTGAACAATATTTGCTGAAGCTGTCTTTAAACGAAATACCAGCTGAAGATCTAAGCCGATTAAGGCTTTTTGAGGTCACTGAGCTAGATGAAAGTAGATCAGTTTCCTAGTGATCACTTCATGTAAACATACCTCAGTCCTCTATAAAGAATCTGACAATGCCACAGATTCTACCTATTGAAAGTTGTCTATTTGTTTTTTCCAAATAGAAGACACTTCAGATATCAAATTAACAAACTTGTTAAGTAGTCTAGCTGTAACACTGAACTGATCATTGCTCACTGATAAACTCTTGCACTTGAAACTATTGAAATGGAGATGACCTATACTACAGAATTTATATAATATCTAAGTTCCAGGCTCCAAGAATAAATTTAAGTCAGTAAGTACTGAATACCAATGATTAATATCTCAAATTATTTCCTTCCTAGACCTTAGAATAGGAGGGAAGAGGTAAGACATCTGGGTTATGTTTTTCATTGTACATAAGAGTCATTTTAGTCCTTTTCAAGACACTAAAGATGTGGAAGGAATGCAAACTTTCTCATAGCACCAACTTGTTTCTTCACAGTATAGCTCGATGCCAAGCAGATACACTACCTAAGGCAGCGCTACAGCTTCCAGCATGGGTTCATTTGCTTGAGCCTCTGTATCATGCTGTATTTTGCATCAGAGATATCTCAAATGTCTTAGAATGGACAGGGTGAGAAAATAATCTCAAAGGCTTTGGAAAACCAGGGAAGGAGGAATAAATTATTTCTTCCCCATTCCTAGCTAATCTAGATTGTCCCACTGCAGGCCCTCACCAGATCTACTTACCCTTCTCTCAGCCCCAGTAATTGTTAAGCTCCTTATGTATCTACTCCAGCCTCTTCCTATGAATTCAACTCCCAAATATCCCCTCCCTATCAGACTCCCCATTTCTTACCTAGTCTCCTATCTTGTCAGAATCTTTCAGTTTATTTCCTCACTCCTCTTCATCTCATCTCCCGTACAGCTAGATTACACGGCCTTCTTTCCCAGCAGGACGAACTATACTGCAGGTAACAGAATCTGCTTAGGCTCTAAATCCAGTGCCAAGACCTGACATAGTCCAAAGCAGCTCCAAAAGAAACCTAAGTGCTTTCCAGCCCCACGCCATATAAGAAAGAATGCTCAAGAAATCAAGATGTTTAATTCTTCTAGCAAAAGCTCGTAACACTATATTCCTTCTAGAAATAGCAAGGCTTTGCTCAAGAAGATTGCCTCCCTCCCACCCTCTAAAATAGCCAAAGGTTTGCATTTAAAAAACAAAACCAAAACAACAAAAACCCCCAAAACATAGCAAAACCCAACCATACCACAGAATCCCCCCCCCCAAAAAAAAAACTCCACAACATCCCCAGAAAGCTTTAGTTTTAGCCAATCATTTACCTCCCAGCAACTCTGGGCTTGAAACACACAAAGACTGTAGAGGAGTTAAGTTTCAGAAGACTGCCTACTCTGAACATTTGTTGCGCTCTTCTCCTGAAGCTGACAAACGGAATGAAGCAATTATACTTTTGTAATCATTTTGACAACCCAGACTGCAAAAACCGAGTAGTCTCTTTGCTGGACATTGCCTTCTTCAATGTTTTCAGTTAGTATTCTCTCCCTGGGAAACATGAAATGCTCCTTGTATATAATATAAAGCTATTTTCAGAAAGTCTTGCTGTTTCTTGTATTTTTGACTCCTCCTTTCCTGATCCCAGAGTAGCTAACTATTCTATTTTGGAATAGGATTTTATTAATTCAAACTCATGAGAATTTGCTTAGAATAATTATTTAACACCTAAAATGAAAATGGTTTGTGTCATTAAGTTTGTTACTGTCGTTCTTATCAGCCTCACAAGAAATCACAGAGCCAATTACTTTCACTACTCCCTACCAGTCAAGCATAAATAGCATTTTTTATTGTTACTACTACTATCTTCATCATTATTAAAAGGAATTGGTTGCAAGGCAAAGGTCTGTAGCCTTTGGTTTGAACAAATAGGGTCATTTGAGACTGTTCTGCAAACACACTATTCCTCCCAAGTTTTCAGTCTTACAATTTTGGGATCTGACAACTAAGGTTCTTTGTTTTGTCAGAATCTCTTTTTCACACACCTTAATCTTTACTTTGGCAGGGGAGAAAGGAATCTAAAGACATAGCAATTTACTATAATTCCAAACAGTAAATTTTTTTAATTGGTGAACAAGATACAGCTATTCTCAGGTAACATACATCCTCCACTACTAAGAGAGTTTTGCTTTTTAAGCAAGTTTTGTATAAACTAAGCTTAAGATTCTGAAAAATTTAAGTCATTTTAGTATTAAAAGCTCTTATATGAAAGAAATTCTCCTGCCAAAATTGAACCACTAAGAATTTTATATGAAAGGGAGAATTGGGTTTTTTTAGACTCCACTAACATGCTACAGAGTAAACCCCAGAAGGAAGGGAAATATTGCAGGGAAATATTTCACTTTTTGCTTCCCCAAAATGATAAGGAGACAGAAGAATGTATTGACACTGTTTCTGTGCTTAGAATAATAGAGTTTGCTTCAAAGGACTTCTTGCAGCAATTTTCCAATACCTGAACCTTCTGTAAATAGAAAGCACCCATGTAATTATTTCAAACTGGGAGAAGATTAGGAATCAAAGAATCTAAAAGGTGGAGAAAAAACACACATTATCCTTTGTTTACCTTAGATCATCACTCCTGTATTTTCTATAGAATTTGAAGATGTTACAAAATACTGACATGTTTAAAGTAACTGATTTTTTTATGCATTGTAGCACGTATCTTTTATAATTTGCTGAAAAAAATACGGGTATCAACAGCTCAGTAAACTTCTTGGGCTCTGGAAAGCTATTGATGACCAGGTGAATGTATAAACTCCCTGCCAATAAAAGCTATCACTTATTTGATACCTTTTTAAAAAAATGTGTTTGATGGGTTAAGACTTCAAAGTCAAACTGGTCTTCACATACAAATCTACCATGCCAATAGTTTATACTGTATCTGGCTCCTGTACAAGCTATGAGAAGAGAGACAATCTGATCCTCCTTTGCTGAGTGGCTGTAGAATCAGATGAATTTCATAAAGACAAGGTAGGTCTACATTTACAAACGCATTGGCTGACAGTGAACACTACTTGTAAAACACTGATTCCCCTAAAAAAAAGGACATTGACCTTCTTGCAGTTGCCTTTTATTGCCAGTGTTTGCATAAGAATAGTGTGAGGTATTTTCATTCATAAAGTACAAGGGCATTTCATGGTCCACACCATGAAAAAAATCTGGAAGTCTCTTTATTAGATAGGCATGACAGCTAAAACTCAGATTCAAGTGTCAATATGACCTTAGTACAGAGAATAAAGACAGATTGATAGAAATTATCTATGATTCATTGAAAACAGAAAGGCAAAGCAATTTAATAACTGGACCGTCAGTACTTGTTCTGTAAAATAGGGAAAATATAACAGCATAAAACCCCCTTCGTTCATGTAAGTCTAGCTGGTTAGGTACTAGGTAATTTAAAAGATTTGGATGACTTCCAAATAGTAAAACAATACATCATAGAGAAAAGTTTTAATTGCTAAATCACACAAACATGCTAAGAACTATTTTCTAAACCTGACAGTTTGCAAGACTAGGAGTGTTACTTAAAACTTAAATCAATTGAAATGGCTTTATTATTCCAACACAGAGCAAGTAATTCCACCAGAAGTAAAAAAATATTTTTTCTGGAGATCAGTCATTTTGATACAATGTCTGTGTCAGAAATGAAACCCTTTTCTGGGAACGCAAACTGAAAAATTTGTATTTAGCAAATTCTAAAACACAGAAGTTAGGCCCATTTCTCATGTTCACATACCTAAATGGAAGATATGGTGGATTAGATCCAGACAAAAGTGTTCTGTAAGCTTCTTCTGGTGTTTTCTTCAAGTATATTACCTAAAGGGGGCAGGGGGAGAGGAAAAAAAAATAAGCCCTGAGCCTGAAAAGTCATTAACCACATGTACGCTTCCCCCAGCCCACTAAACTCTTAAGAATGTATACTATACTCCTTTATGACAAACTCCTATGACATTTATAGGTCAGAAAAGACATACCTACACAAAGTAAAAGATTCAGAAATCAACACAAACTGGGATTTGTTTCATGTCATTCCCCCCCTTTTAAAAAAAATAAAAAAATCCACATATTGCTGCAACTGAGAGACTTTAAGACAGATTCAACATCGTATTAAGATGAAAAATAGGCATATATGCTACGAGTTCCCTGTCCAACTTCAGATGAGTCAAAATATTATCACAGCAGCTGGCAAAGGAAACATTTCTCCACCACAGCTCAACAGATTTTCCAACACAAATATTTTCTGGTTCCTAATTGTCAATATCAAACTACTAATTAAAAAAAAAAATCCAATTCAACAAGCTGAACCTGTTACTATGAAACCACCATATAGTTAACATACCATCCTAAGCCAAGGCTCATTCTATCGCTGAACACTATCAGCTCAGCTTGTTTACTTAAGTAAGAAATTAGAATACAATCGCATCTTGTTGCATTTCAATTGCTATTCGTACAGTAAAACTGGTCCTAAAATAAATTTAACTTGGAATATATATTAAGCAAGTGCATTATTTACAAAAAAAATTTCATTGAGTTTGGAGTGGCATATTTCACATGCACAAACATGTTTTGTAAACAAAGCCACAAAATTTTCCTAGCCATTTGCCCCCAACTCACCTTACAACCAACACCTACACGGCTACTTTTTAGCTCTACGCACATTTAACTGTTGAATGTGAAGTATTCTAATAATTATTTTCTTAACCAAGACATAGGCTAATTCCTGATCTAAAAGCTTTATTCAACTTTTGACCTCGAACATATTAGAATGTGTGGTCACTCCCAGAATATCTGCAATTTGCTTTATGTCTTGAGTCCTATCTCAAGTTAGTGGGATTCTTAGTATTCTGTAAGATGTCAACATGGTAGGTAGATTTTCTTGCATTTCTTCCTCAAGCATGGACCAGGCAGACAGAAAAGACAAGATAAGGATAAAACAAACAAGAAAATTGACTCAAGTAATACAGTCTGAAAAACTCTTTGCCATGACACAATGAAAAGAGGGGCAAGAATCATCCCTGTTTTTCAACTACCACCTATTTCACTGCTTTGAACAACTGTTCCAATTTTGGATGAAAACCCCCTACACAAACTGATTTGCCTTCAAAAGACCAATTCCCGGACAGAGCTGCATTTCAGTCTCAGCCTCCCATGTTGCTGCTCCACTCATCACGGTCACACCGATAGCATGGATCAGTATAATCAGTACCCGAAAGGAGGACCGAATCCCACTTATCTTGAAATGTTAAATCTCAATGCTGCAGCAGTGTCCGTATTGCTGTTTCATTTAGCAAGTGCCCAAACTACATGTTTCTCAAAATTAATGTCCCTGTATTTGTGCAAACTTTCATATTCCCCCCTTCCTTAACCTCTGAAAGCAAACATTTCCTGAAACCTTCCGCCATCAAAACAGACCACAATTTCTACATAAAAACCAATTCCATTTATTCTGTTATCAGAACAATTGTTTCTAACTCAATTATTAGATTCTTTGTTGTTGGGGTCAAACCAGTAATTACTAATATTGAAACAGATTCAGAGATTTACTTAATGCATATATTTATTTACTTAATTCAAAAAGTGGAGGGACCCATTTCTTTTTTTTTTTTTAAGCTGTAATGGTCTGTCTACAGCAATGATTGCTAACTAATGTCATCAACTTCGTGTTTTCAACCCCTGCAGCATAGCAATGCTATTCTGTTTTCACAGTCATTTGTAAAAGATTCTTGTAGTCTATGAAAGAAGTCTCCTTTATAGTCCCCCTCACCACAAAAGGTTTTGCATTTAAGAACAATGCATCCTGTACAATAGATTTCGGTGGGGGGTGTATTTCAGAGAAAAATACTGATTTTATTCATGTCAATTAATGCAAATAATCATGACAATGAGCTTACATTTAAAGCCTAAATTCCTGCTTATAGTCAAAAGATCTTTAGAGGGCAGTTCAGAGGACTTCAGGGAAAG